ATAATAGACCCCCAAACCCTATTCCAATTATTAAGGCCACTACATCTGTTTAGAGGGTTTCGGGTTTTAGGGCGTTGGGGTTTTGGAGTTTGGGTTTCAGTGTTTTAAGGTTCTGGGTTTTAAGGATTCGGGTTTAGGGCTTCGGGCTGTTGGGGTTTGGGGTATGACCCTAATCCCTCCTTGTTGAAAGCTGGCACCCCCACGGCCAGCTTGAATGTGGCCTCGGAGGTCAAAGCACTCTAAATTATTTCGAACGTCGCTGTACCCTGAATCCGACATCCTCCCCTTCTTCTCGTTTTGAGCTTATCGTTACGATGAGTTCTAAAGCAAGGCTGCTTTGGCAGCTTTTTCGCAGCCCTACATCATGATGCATCCTGCACCCTAGAGCTCTAGACCCTAAGCTGCTTCCAGAAGCCTTAGTTAAAGGAGCCCACAAAGGAAGTTTAACGAGTTCTATATAAGCCAAAAGAACTTCCCATACATTATATAGCCCTTAAGTAGGACATGTACCTTGTAGGAACCCTTCACGGGCCTCTTGCTTGAGGAATCTCAGCCTCTTCGCAACCATTATACATCAATCCGAAGCTATATACCCTACACACGCTTATGGAAGCCCTGAAAGGAACCCTTCAGCTAAACCATAAACCCGCAAAAAACCCACAAAGGAACCCCCCTTGTAGAAGCCCCCAAAGGCAGCCCTCAACCAACAACAAAAAAAGGGGGGAACAAGTCAAATTTCTCGAAGGCGGCCGCGGGAAGCTGCGAAACGATCTTCGGGCTTGGCGGAGCTTGCAGAGGCCGCTTCCTTAGGACCGTTTAGGGTTTAGGGTTTATAGGACCTTGTTGGGGGATAATATAGGATTTTTGCGGCTTTTTAGGATCGTCTTGAGGCTTTTTAGCGGAGTTTAGGGCTTTTTGGGGTCTTCTGGGCTTTTTTGGGTTGAAATAGTTGTATCTGTATAGGGCTCTTTAGGGTTTCTAGGGTTTGTTTCGGGATCGGGGTTCAATAGTTGTCGTTTATGGGTTGTAGGGCTTTAAGGGTTTGAGCGCTTTTAGGGTGGAGGGATGTGGAGGGTATCGAGTAAGTGGTTCTTCATTAGGACGTTTTAAGGGGCTTTAGGGATTTAGGGCGTTGTAGGGTGTAGGGTGTATAGAGTATAGGGTTCTTCATCAGGGCCTTTTAAGACCTTGGGTTTCGGGCCTGGGCCTGACGGTTTAAGGATTAGGGGTGCAAGCAGGGCTTTTTGTAGGAGGAGTCTGGGGTGGCAGGGCCTGAGGTCTTAGGGTTCGGTTTAGGGTTTAGGGTTTAGGGTTTAGGGTTTAGGGTTTCAGGACTGGGTTTAGGGCTTAGGGCTTGTATCGTGTGCGACTTAGGCGGTTTATGGTTTAGGGCTCTTAAACCATGCAAGTTTGGCGAAGCGTTTTGTTTTTCCCTACCTTGACCGGTAGCTATCCCAAACCCGTTTGGGTTTTGGTTTAGTGTTGTGGTGGGCTTAGGTTTTAAGATATGTCAATAAGGATTCCCCTAAGGCTTCTCTAGGGGTTCCTAAGCCGTAAACTACGAAGCCACGATGACCCCATGGCCAGAAGTGTAGACTGAACCTCAAACTTTGGAAGAGGCTATAGGACGCGCTGCTTCCCCTCATAGTGGTCGTGCATCGATGTTCGTTTGGGAAGCCTCACAGTTACCCTTGAACGAACGCCTTGGGCATCGAAGGAGGCACCAAAACGCTGGCGGTACCAACGTCAAACGCAGATAGGCTCAGGCACTTCGGGTGTGGATTTTTTTGGGGGGGCTTCGCGAGTTTCGGGGTTAAAGGTTTACCTGAACCCCAAAAACAACCCGACTTTTGGGGGCTGCTTATTTGGATTTCCTGCTGGAATGGAAGCCCTTAGAGATGGTAGGTTTGATGTATACGGTTTATAGAGTCTAGAGCTTCAGATTTGTAACAAAGGAGCCTAAGTTTTACCAATACTATTTTGGGGTCCTTATTATTATCATTATGGTATAGTGGACTGCAAGACCCTATTCTAATTTTTCTGGCCCCTACATGGCTGAGGGATGACGGTTTCCTGTGGGTTGCAGAGTTTTCTTATCCTTTTCATCGGGCCCTTCTAGGGCTTTTTCCTCCTCAAGGACCTAAGGACCCCCCGGAATCAAATACTATTAGTACTACTAGTTCCCATACGTAAGTACACACGCTTCCACATCAGGGTTTTCAGCGGGTTCGCACGAGTTTAATATAAAGTCCCCCTATACTGTTTTGGGGGTTCCTTATTATGTCTACAGTATAATATCCCCCAGGACCCTATTCTAATTATTAAGGCCCCTACACCCTAAACCCCTAGACCCCTGAACCCTAAACCCTACGCGGCAGGAGCTTCGGAAAAGGGGCGCCGCGACACATTTTAGAAAAAGAAACCTACGCCCCTAAACCCTCTTCTAATTATGAAGGCCCCTAAACCCTAAACCCTAAACCCTAAACCCTAAACCCTAAACCCTATATTCTCTGTTTTTTTGCGCCGGTCTTAGGGTGTTGCAGGTTGGGGTTTCCTGCGTTACTGGCCGCACGAACCCAAAAAGAGCCAATGGTTGACGTCCCACAGCAAAAGTTATACATGTTCTAACACACACACACACACACATATATATATATATATACACACATATCTATATATATATATATATGTAGATATATGTACATATATATATATATATATATATATAAATTTGTGTATATATATATATACATATATATATATATATGTAGATATATGTACATATATATATATATAAATGTGTGTATATATATATATACATGTATATATATATATACATATATATATATATATGTATATCGAACCCGTTTTCCATCCAAGCTATCCCCCAAACCCAATATGCAGGTGAAGGGTGGGCACGCTTTGTCGAGGGGCTTACGCGTGGCAGGTCTTTGTTGGAAGACGTCCGCAAACCTGAAATCCCGCAAAACCCCGAATAGCCCCAAACCGTAATGATCCTAGAAGCTCTCAACCCGAAACCCGGAAAAGCCGCATAATCTTAAACTCTGATACGCGCTATGTCCATAACGACCCTAGTAACCCTAAGCACTAAACCATACACCCTAAGCCCTAACACCTAAACCCCAAACCCTGTAAGCCCTAAACGCTAGTAACCCTAAGCACAAAACCATACACCCTAAGCCCTAAACCCTAAACCCCAAACCCTGTAAACCCTAAGCCCTAGTAGCCCTAAGCACTAAACCATACACCCTAAGCCCTAAACCCTAACCCCAAACCCTGTAAACCCTAAGCCCTAGTAGCCCTAAGCACTAAACCATACACCCTAAACCCTAAACCCTAAACCCTAAACCCCAACCCCTGTAAACCCGAAGCCCTGGTAGCCCTAAGCACTAAGCCCGGAACCCTGACGATCCTGAACCCAAGGGCTTTTGTGTTCACTCCATCGGCCTGTTTGATGGGTGGCGTAGCTGTAGCACCTGGGGTCCTGCGGTTGAGGTTTAGGGTTTTGGGGTTTTAACGTTTTAGGGTTTAGGGTTGTGCTTTGTGTTTGGAGTGTCGGATTTTTGGGTTTGGGAGGTTTGCTTTCGGCAAAAAAAGGGTTTCGTGGTTGTTATGCGTTCTTTTTTATGATTGTGTCTTGGACTTTCTGGGTGGTTTGGGCTTTGCGGTTTGAGGGGTGGGGCGTCGTAGAATTTTGGGCTGATGGTTTAGGGTTCTGGGTGCTGGTTTTGGGGTTTGGGGTTAGTGTTTAGGGGTTTAGGGTTTAGGGTAGGGCAAGTCAGTTTGCTTCGTGCCTGCGAGACAGTTGAGGTTCACAGATCGATCGGGTTGCCCCCTAGACTTTCTAAGTTCAGGGTTTCGGCCTGCTATCATACGGGACTGTCCCAAAATTAGATGCTTCAACAGAATCACTGAACACCCTGGAACCCTAAAGCAAACCCTAAACCCCTGAATCCTAAACCCCTAAACCCTAAATCCTAAACCCCTGAATCCTAAACCCCTAAACCCAAAAACCTTCCTTCTTTCTCCACTTCTTTCTCTGCGACCCGCAGGCCTCCCTTTTCTTCCATAGTTCAACAACCCTAAACCCTAAACCCTAAACCCTAAACCCTAAACCCTAAACCCTAACATCAGAACACCAAAAACCCTCAACCCCCAGAGTCTCCAAGGACCTACGCAGCCCAACACCCTCGGCACTTTTCTTTTCCCGGTCCTAAGCCCTAACCCCCTCAGCATCTCTTCAAAACGGTTTGTATCCCAACTAAAAGCGCCACAATCGCCAACCCAGCATCCCCAAAGACATGTACCTAGCCAAATCAAGAAACCCCATAAGGCCACCCGAAACACCCCTACCAAACCCTCCCTAAACGTGAGAAAACCCTCAAACCCCCAAGATCCAC